TAGAGGCTGTAATGGTTGTACATTTTGTCTCCATCTCCCTTCGGTTAACTGTCCGTCTTCCTCAAGAACGAATGAACCTGGTGGATTATATATGTTGCGTGATACTTTACTTTTTCTTAAAAAATTGTGCAAGTAAACGATAGTTAGCACTACTATTTCGGCTTTTTGTGGTTCTAATAATAATGGTTTACGTAGGACACGAAAAACTGAAGAAGTTATTCCGAAGACATTTTCTACGACTCTCCTACATCTACTTAGACGGTAGTTAAATATTCGTTCTTTTGATCCTGTTGTATGCATGCCGGAAAAAGGTTTCATAATGTTTTCTGTCAATGGGAATGCATTATCAGCCACTATAACATATGGTACATTCATATTTCTTTCTGGCAATGGCGATGGCTGTGGAATTCTCAAGCTTTTATTTTCTATTTGTTTGTATAATTCACAATTATTATAAACACCACCATCAGAAATCCTACCTTGACAACCCACGTTTGCGTATATAAAATTATAATCTGCGTCAACTAGAGCGAATAAAACAATACTGAAAAACGATTTATAATTGTAGTAATCGCTTCCGCTTTTAATTGGACATTGTAAAGTTATGTGTTTCCCATCCATTGATCCGATGCAATGAGGAAAGTTCCATTGTCTTTCAAATTCATCTGATATAAACAACCATTCTTCGGGAGTTGAGGGCATCTATAAATATTTGATAAAATAATACAAAATACATAAATACCATTTTTTGTTAATATTTTAAAACATATTTATAATATTTGATTTTAATAATATTTTACAGGTTAACTTTGATGATTTAAATGAATCTCAAAACGATATAACTGATATCGATGTAGTAGATACATCTCGAGAAAATATCGTTGACGACGGATTACAAGAAAAAGAAAACGACGATATACCATTTATTAGTTCACAACCCCCAAAGAAAAAAAAGAAAAAGAATTTGGAAGATCAACGCCTAGAAGAAGCTTTTAACATTTTGAATAGACCGTATCCAACTTCTAGAGCTCTAGATGACTGGTCAATTTACGGCGAACACGTTGGCAATAAACTTCGAGGGTACTCTAAAAAAGCCAGTTCCATTGTCCAACATTTAATAAACAATTTGCTATTCGAAGCAGATATGGGTAAATATGATGCAAATCCTTACCAACTCATTCAGCCATCTCAACATTTATTTTATCAAAACTCACCATCTGCGTCAACATTTTCTCAGCACTCTTTTGCGTCGTCTACTCCTTCTCATACACCAGTTCCTTCACTTTCAACAGCTAGCGATACACCATATTATGATATACCATATGATTCAGTGGTTTCTCCACCAACGTCAAACAACATAATCATACAATCATCCGAGTATATGGGGTCTAATGTCCAGGAGAACTTAGGTTCTACTTTTGTATAATATATCATGTTGTTTAATTTTTAATCGTTTATCTACAACAAGGATTTTAGTTTATTTTGATATTTTTAATATTATTATTTTAATTTCTTAGTATAAAAAAATATATTATGACAATTATTATAACAGAGGCATTTGTTTTGTTGATATTATACTAAAATAATTTTTTTATTATTTTTATATTTTTTGTTAATTTATATTTAACATATATTTATTTCAAACTCTCAATTATTTTATATCTTACTTTTATATATTCATTTAGTACTTCCACGAGAGCTCGACATACTTCTGGTATTATATATGATATTAATTGCTTGGAAATTAAAAATGTGTACTGCAAACTAGTGAAAGAGTCTCCTGTAGCCAGAAAACGCAACGTTACAGCCAACCTTTTCTCAATTGATACAGCTTTTCTCAATTGAGTGTCTTGTTTCATAATTTTTGGACCAATTTTGCACAGTAAAAATTCAAAATCTTCAGACTCCATGCGAACAAAATTTTTAAATTGTCCAGTGGTCTCATCAAATCGTAAATGAGTCATTAAAGTAGGCTGATTGTCGCGTTGCTCAAATAAATGTGTAGTCCACCATCTTCTACTTTTTTTACTTGGTTTACGTTTTTTTTAAAATAGAGTGAATAATCAAATACGCAGCACTTTTCATTTTTAGTTCATGTTCGACTAAAATGTCATTTGATCTAAAAGACATGATTTTAAAAAATGCGTGTAAAACTCAGTGACAATAAAAAAATAAAAAATAAATAATAATATTTAAACTCAACATACAACATACACCGTATACGGTCACCAAACAACTGAATATCCGAACTCCGGAGGCAGGAGCGCAGATTTATTTCACATACAAATTGTTTTCACAAAAAACGTCCATACTGAGCACATACGACGCACAACATGAGCACACATGCTCGGTCTGTACGTGCTCTAGTGTGTACGCGGCTCTAGACATATCCCAGGCATTCGATCGCGTCTGGCACGATGGCATTCTATTCAAGCTTCGTAATTTTCTCCCCTCGCCACTTTTTCTTCTTATTAAATCGTAACTTTTTCTTCTTATTAAATCGTATTTAACAGATAGATATTTCAAAATTCGCCTCGGGTCTTGCACTTCCGATTTAGCCCCAATCAATGCAGGAGTACCCCAAGGAGCCATTTTATCGCCTCTTCTTTTCAATATATACTCCTCCGATCAACCCATTTCACAAGACACCATAGTCGCCGATTATGCCGATGATAAAGCTATAATGTCGATCCATGAAAATCCAGTTACAGCTTCAGCCAATTTGCAATCCCATCTTGATCTACTCTCCCAATGGTATACCAAATGGAGAATTAAACTCAACCACAGTAAATCAGTTCACACTACCCTCTTAAACATGGTTTTTGCCCGCCTGTCACAGTTGACAATATACCAATTCCTATGTCCAACTCAGTAAAATATCTTGGCATCATACTTGATAAAAGGCTAACTTGGAACCAACATATCAAATCAAAAAGATTAATTTTAAACTCTCGCTCCCGCTCACTTAAAAATTTAATTACAAATAATAAATGTTCAAGTTTAAAAACTAAATTATTAATAAACAAATCACTGTTAAAGCCAATTTGGTCATACGGACTAGTTTTGGGGTACAACCAAAAAAACGAACCTAAACAAAATTCAAACATATCAAAATATAACTAAGAAAAATCACAAACGCCCAACCTTACATTTCCAATCTTACCCTTCATAACGACCTACGTATGAAATCTATAGAAGAAGAATCTGTAATCCTTTACAAACGATTCTTCTTACGCCTAAACAATCACGAAAATCCTCTGATTCAAAGCCTAAATTCCTTAACGCTCCCGGAAAACCCTCGTAGGAGGCTAAAAAGAAGATGGTGCAGAGACCTCTTAAATTAAAAATAAAAAAAATAAAAAAAAAATGTGTACCTTACCCACTGCTTAATAAATTTCCTGCCTTCTTACTCCCACTTTCCTATCTTCAATTTTATAGGGTTACCATAGGGTGATTTCTTAATCAAGTCTTTTCATGTATAACTACTCTTTTCACATATACTTATTATGCTATATTGTATAGATTGTATATTATCTCTTAAAAATAAAAAATAAATAAAAAAAAACTTAAATGTAATGAGTTTAATCAAGGTTATTTAAAACATGTTTTAAACATCTAAATAAAATTAAAATAAACATAACGTTGTTTCTACAGAGATTGTATATAATAAATTAATTGATGAAATTCCAGACAATCTGTATGATGCCATAGGACCTTACGCAGACATACCAAAAATAATCTCATTTGTCAAAAAAATTGAAATGTACAACTTAATTTATATAATTTATTTTCATTATGTATTTTTATATTTTCTCTTTTTCCCCTTAATCACTATTGTACCACTGTAAAAACCCCCTTATGTACATAACCATATAATCTTGTAAGCTTATAACCATGATGTTGATGCTGTAACAATAAAAAAAAAATAAAAAAAAAAATAAAAAAAAATTAATTGAAACAAAAACGGTATCAACTAATGATGTGGACCGTGATTCAGATATGGATAAGAATATTACAGAAACAGAAACCAACTGTAAGCAATTTTTAAACCTGTTAAAATAAATTATATATTTACCTATAGTTAAATATAATGAATTTAATCAAGGTTGAGATATTTAAAACAACTTAATAAAATTGAATTTTTATTTTATTGCAACAGCAAATAAATAAATTTGTATTGTTTAGTAAAGAAATGTATACAATTTAGTATAGAATATTAAATAATTATTTGTTTTATTTTTAAATTTCTTATAAATCATTCACGTCTTAGATTTAAGTAAGTATTTTTGATTTTACTAATTTTAGTTATAAAATGTATTGTTAAGTTATAACAGCTAATATAAGCTTAAATCGTATAAACTAACCAAAGGCCATCACAAAAATACCTTTTTTAATTTACCTTTAATTTATAGAAGTGGTTCCTTCAAATTCTGATACAAGTTATCAATATCAAATACAATTATTATACCCAAAGAAAAAAATAAACATCAAGTTATTTCTACAGAGATTGCACATAATAAATTATTTGAAACAAAAACGGTATCGACTAGTGATGAGGACTATTATTCAGCTATAGACAGGAACAGAAATAATTGCGATAAAGTAGACACCATAAACATACATTTTACTGATCTTGGTACATGGCCTTTAAATATCACTGATACACAAAGAACATATTTAGTGAAAATGAGGTACAATTACTCCGAAATTCATGACTTTAGTAATTCGGAAAGAGACGGTAGAAATGTTAAGTCTGACTGGTTTTATAAGATACTTATGAATGGAAAACAATTTAAAAGAACATGGCTCAGCTATTCTTCATATAAAAATGCACTTTTTTGTGTACCTTGTAAATTGTTTACTAAAATAGAAAACTCATCCAACATATCAAAATTAGCATACACTGGCTTAACAAATTGGAAAAAAGTTACCGAAAAAATTCCATTACATGAAAATTCACCAATACATAAAAAAATGTGTGTTCCTGGACTTCATTGGAAATGGCATTGAATCACTGCGAGGGTATAGATACAGAATTGCAAAATTCTATAAGAAAAGAAGAAGGTCACTGGAAATCCGTTTTATTGGCAATTATAGACATTATAATGCATCTAGCAATGGACGGAAGTGCATTTCGAGGATCTAATGAAATTATTTCTAGTGTGGGAACATCAAACCGAAGTGGAAAGTTTTTAAATTTAGTTAATCTAGTGTCACATTATCATGAACCATTATCAAAACATATTGAAAGACATAAAAAAGGTGTTCTTTCTTATTTTTCTCATGGTATTCAAGACGAGTTTCTAGAGATTATGGCAAAAAGAGTTAAAGATGAAATTCTTTCAAAAATAATAGAGGCGAAATATTATCCTATACTATTCGATTGTACACCGGACATTGCACACCATGAACAAATGACCCAAGTTATTCGCTATGTTATACAAAACAACCAGAATGAATGCGAAATCATAGAAAGTTTTTTAATGTTTGTGCGTGTGTACAACAAAACTGGTGAATCATTAACAGAATATATATTAGATTGTTTGACAAAGGATAATCTTAGAATATCTGACTGTAGAGGACAATCGTTTGATAACGGGTCAAATATGAGTGGAAAAATTAAAGGAGTCCAAGCACGAATTATTGAAATGAATAAACTTGCAAGATTCATCCCATGCTCAGCTCACTAATTAAATTTAATTGGTGTTAATTGTGCAAAAAGTATACCTAAAGTAGAAACATTTTTTGGCATAGTACAGAAATTATTTAATTTATTTTCAACTTCAACGCAAAGATGGGATATTCTAATGAATAATTTAAAATTGTCATTGAAAGGGTATAGTACAACAAAGTGGTCAGCTAAACATCGTGCATTAAAATCATTAAATACTCAACTGGATATGGTTTTCAAAAGCTTTGACGTTCTAAAACAAGAAAAATTTTCAGAAGAAACAAAATTTGATGCAGATAATTTGATAAGATCACTTAAAAGTTTTTCTTTTATTTGTATGCTTACGGTTTGGGAAAAAATTCTCAGTGCAATTGACAGGATTAATATAATTTTACAAAAACCAAAATTAACAATTGATGTCGCTGTCAAACATCTGCAAAGTCTCCTTAAAATATGTACATAAGATAACCTAACCTACAACGATCATACAAATTGTTATTATTTATTTAAATTATTAAGCTGTACAAACGGACGGCGATTAATTCACAGTAGTTTAAATTATGATTTCGTAATGGACATAGAACCCCCTTTTTCATTTACAGTTCAGTCTGCTTCTATCACACAACTAGTTCAGTGCAACTAATACACCGTCTTACTTTAAAAGCAAAAAGCTTATTTAATTTAACTTTATCATCGATCTTTTTATCTTGCTGTGAAGTAATAAATTACTGTTCAAAACCGAAACATAATTGCTTTGATTTCATTGAAACATTCAAACATATTCCTCAATACCAACTGCCAAGGTATCCGTACAGGTTCTATTCGTCATATTGTTTGCAGCGAAGTATCAGGTAGGAGAATATATTAATACATAACTATATATCCAAGGTAACAAAATCATCATTAAGTAAGACAACGCAGACTCTGGTGTAATATTTAAAGGTGTGAAATAATAATATTTATAAATCTGTATTCACGATCCCGATTAATCATAATAATATATAGGCTTAAACTAATGATAGTAATGAAGTTAGGATAGTAGCTACTCCTAGCTACACCAATTATTATTCGTTGAAAGTACTTGACCGTAACATCTAGGTTAATATATTATTATAAGGTAAAGGTTCATTAATAGCAACGTACGAGCTTATTTTTGATTCATTACAATTATGAATATTAAATATTTATTTTTTTTATACTAGATGGAAACATGCGGAGGCCAGTATAAAATTGTACACTACGAATCGGGATTCAAAAGATACAAATATTGCAATCAAAATAAATGACGTTGTTCTGGATATATTGGATCGATTTTCATTAGATCCGAAACGAAAATTAATTAAAAACAATAAAATTAAATTAAATACCAAATAATTTAATTGTATAAATACTAATGGCCTTTGCTGCCGAGTTGTTTTTTTAAGATCAATAAAAAAAAAATTATAATCGATTTTGAATTCACCAACTATCAACGTACCCATTCAATACTTATTTCTGCAACTGTATCACAGACTCACATAATATCTAAAATTAAACGCATGCGAGGTCAACACTCAACTTATAATAATATCACCTGACGGAAGAATACAATTAATGAATAATTATTCATATATAAAAACTACAAATTTGTTACAAAATATTTTTGTTAATAAACCAGATCAACTTCAAGTTATACTAAATGAATTAAATTTAGTTATGGAAACAAAAACTTCAAACTTAACTAAAAACTATTTAAAAAACTATCTTAATTTTAATAATCAAAATGCAATTATTTTACTATGGAATGGTAGTTTCGATAAATATATTTTATTAAGATTAGGTTTTAATACAAATATAATGTTGAATATGACTGAGTACGATATTAAAATATTTTATTTAACCTCTTCCCGCATAGAGGCATCAAATGGTATTTATTTTTATTTAAAATCAGCTTAAATTATAACAGTCTTCATATATCATTCTACATTATGATTACATAGTAATGTTTATATTTTGCTAGTATAGATGGCGCTAGTAATATTTAAAATTGGTAGAAAATGACTAAAAACAGAAAAAACTTTAGACAATTTGTTTCATACCTACATAAAAATCAAATAAACTTTTCGAAAAAAATATTTCTTAATAGATTTATAACTTATGTTTAAGATAATATCAATTAAAACCGGTTTTGGTAAATGGAAGAATTTTTATAACGAGATTTGTTGATGGAAATATTTGGTGCCAGCCTAATTTGGTGGATGTATTTTTTCAATCAATTTTATGACGTTTTGTCTATTTACGTATCAACTATTGCATGTCTCTACATGCGTCTTATTTTTGTTTTTATTTTATCTATGGATTTTAAATTGTTTCCATTATTATCAGTACGTTGTGTTGTTGTACCGAGTAAAGTATTGTTTATTTGGTCTCGTAAGTATATTTTTTTTTGAATAATTTGTGAAAATGTCTAAATTAAATGAACATACAATTGCGGATTTGTTGGATTTTGAAATGGATGAAGACGAAATGTCTATACCTTCTGGGTCTGAATTTTCTGACCAAGAAGAGGACGAAGAAAATTTTTTCAGTGAGTTTGATGTACCAAATTTTAATACTGATAATAATTGCTTCGATGATATTATAGACTAGCCTGTAGAATGTGTGGAAAATACAGACGTTCTTCCCACATCTACCAATAACATTCACGTAGAAGTGTCCCTCATATTTCATTACTTGATAATTCACCTGTTAAAACTCGATCAAAAAGAAATAGTGCCAACTCTACCGTCTCTACTCCTTCTTCGTCAGATCAAACTACACCTGTTTTTCATACTACGGTAAATTTCGATACCCCGAGAACATGGATTTCCGGTAAAGATAATGATTTTTGAGAAAACCCACCACCGTTTTTAGGAGATAATAATATGTCATATGAATGCGAAACGCCTTTGAGTTTTTCATGAAAATATTTCCAGAAAAATTATTTATGAAAATTGCAATTGAGTCTAATATTTATGCTGCGAATAACAACCGCTCTAATTTTAAATTAACAGTTAATGAACTTAAAACATATTTAGGATTAAATATTGCTATGACTTACTTACGTTATCCACAACTCAGAATGTATTGGTCGTCTGTTGAAGGTATAAAAATACCTTTTATAGCTGATAATATGACCAATAATCGTTTTGAAGAAATAAAACGTAATTTACATTTTGCTTCTGACGAGGAACGTATAAAAGGAGACGGATACTGGAGAGTTCACCCAGTTCTTGACATTTTACATCAAACATTTCATGAGGCAAATGATAATTCAGAACACCAAGCAATTGACGAAATGATGATACCATTTAAAGGTCGAAATTCTTTAAAACAATCTCAGAAATAAACCAAAGAAGTGGGGGGTTCAAAGTATGGGCTAGAGCAGGAGTTGAAGTGCATATCTTTTTTGGCTACTATTTAACGAGTTCCAATTAGGCCTTAACGGTGGAGGAGGGCTTAAGTAACGAAAAACCATATTCACCTGTTAAATTACGACGTCGACTCTTAACTTGATCGAACCAGTTGATATGTTGTTTTTTTTCGATCGGTGGATAAATCGCTTTATTCTTCCCGAATGGCAACGATGCGGTTTCGGCTAGTTGTTCAAAGTGTTGTTTTATACTCAATCCACTTGCTAATACGGAGGTCGATAGTGGCTGACTGAGTCGGCATTCCCTCCATCCGTTATCTATCACTTTGTTATCAAGTTGTTCGATTTTACATAAATCTGTTTCACCAGTATTACCAGCATTATGATAATCGACATCGTGTTCTAAAGCTATCCAATCTAAACAATTATCCGGTAAACTATTAAAATTACTTTTATTATTTTCGTCAACTACTCTATTGCCAGGCCCCGCAAATTGCGTTCCAGGTAATGTAATACCGCCATTTTTATAATTCATACCTTTTCTTCTTTGTTCATCTTCAATCATTTATTCAATTTGTATATTGGTCAACACACCAGCTGCCAACTCCATGGTTAAACATTGACTGATTACAATTACCTCCGTAGAGACCTCCACTCTTTATTATAACGATATGTAACAATAATTATTAGTGATAACGACGCGCACCTTTAACATGCTGGATGCTTGCTCAAATAATATTTTCAATATTATTTCTACAACAGCGGTTGCAGCGGCGATGTGGCCACTTAAAAATTCTGCCAAACACAAACGCGTGTGTTCCCCCTGCCGTGTCAAAAAACCTACAATACCTACTACAGCTAATGGCCACAGTTGCCGGGCTTAAGATCAATAAAAAAAAAAAACCGTAATAAGGTACCTAATATAAAATATTTTTTACAACTTAAATTTTATTTAGTTAAAATAATTATGATTTTAGATATAATGGATCTAACCACTACCCAAAAAAAGTTTCAACTAACCATCCACCAAGATGTCATGATGCTGACTGCAAAAGACGTACCCGTTATATTTGTTGTGAATGCCAAGAACCTGTGTGTCCAGAATGTATGGACAATTTTCATACAAAAAAATAATTCAATTTTTTTAATATTGATATAAAATGAATTTTTTAATTTTAAGTAGGTACCTAACAAGTAAATTTTAAATTGTAAAAGTATTAAAACGATACAAGTAAAACTTTTTTTTTTGTATGTAAATTAATTTTTTATTTTAAGCTATTTAAAATGATTAACTAAAAAATTTTAAATTTGGAATTTCATTTTCTTTTTTTTTTTTGATGTCTATGTATTATATCATAAAATAATTTATCAATTAATACTTCTTTTTGTAACGAGACAAAATTAATACAATTTTTGGTATCGGTAGCGCGCTCTGGAGGAGTAGACATGCGCAATAAGACCGTGTGCCTGTACCGGCACCGCCGACGGTAACGACCGTTTCCTATGATTTACAACACCTTTACCAGCTATAGTAGGTTCGCGCTCGTTACTACAAACAAAGACAGTACTTACACAGACCAATAATAACATATTCTATCATTTATACTACCTTAATCCGACGTGAAAGTCATGTGCAATATGCACGTTGGAAACGGCGTCCATAGAGTGCGTGCCGGAGCTCGCACTCTACGGTCGCCGCACAAAGGGCAAGTTTTATANAAAATAAAAATAAATAAATAAATTTCTTAACCAACAAAAAGATAATGAATTCAAAAAAAAAGATTAGTGGGGCTGAAAATAGAAAAAGAAAACTGGAACTTGAAAAAAATGTACAAAACCTACCTAAGATCGTCAATTTCTTTTCAAAAACAGAAACCAACGGTAAGCAATTTTTACAGCTGTCAAAATAAATTATATATTTATAGTTTAATACTTACTGTGCTAGTCAGGTACTTAAGAGATGAAAAAGCACAATTTCACACGTTTCAATCAAAAGAGGATAAACCAACGATCGCCCAATGTACTAATTGTCAGGACTATGGGCACACAAAGGCATATTGTGGCCACCCACCTCGCTGCGTCCGCTGTGGAAAAGATCACCACTCTTCTTCCTGTCTGAAATCTCGAGATGAACCTCCTTGCTGTGCACTCTGTCACGGAAACCACCCGGCGAGCTACAAGGGTTGTTCTACTTACAAAGAGCTCCAACACCGTAAGAAATCAAACTCTAATAATAAAAAATTTTTTTTCGATACTAAAGATACTAATTTTAAGTCTAATTTTGTACAAGATAATCACCCTGTAGGTCCCACTCCTACTAATTCTCCCAAGGGGCAAAATCAATCCTACGCAGAGGCAGTAGCCAATCAGACAGCTCGGCATGAATTACCACCTTCAACGCCTAATACCTCTTCTCCTTCAGAATCCAATATCGATCTCTTAATGACAAGTTTCCTGAATGATTTCAAAACCTTAATTAATCCTCTAATCTCTCTACTAACAAAAGTAATCTCAAGTCTATTAGATAAAAAAAATGAATAATAATGCCACAAATAACTCACTCCTAATCCTTTTCTTCAATGCCAACGGTCTCAAAAATCATATCAATGAATTACAAACAGTTTTATATGATAAACGGGTAGATATTGCACTAATAACAGAAACCCATTTCACAAAATACTCCTTTATAAATATCCCAGGATACTTTTCTTTAAAATCGAACCACCCAGACAATACCGCACACGGTGGTGTAGCAATTCTAGTTAAAACTTCCTTATTTTATCAACCACTTCCTAACTATAGTTTCGATCATATACAATCCTGCTCTATCCAAATCAAATTAAACAACATACCACTTTCTATTGGCGCATTTTACTCTCCCCCTCGTCACAAGATCACTAAAGAAATTCTTTCAAATTACTTTAATACAATTAAAAATAATTTTATTGTCAGTGGTGATTACAACGCCAAGCACCAGCGTTGGGGTTGTCGTGCCAACAATCCTCGCGGCACCGTACTTTATAACTTAGCCAACGAAAGACATTTCCAAATTTTATCACCACCTGGACCTACTTATTGGCCTACCTCTCCTAAAAAAAGCCCAGATATTTTAGATATCTTCTCAGCTAAAATTCCGGGCAACTTATACTGCTCTACCTATAATACTTTAGACTTAAACTCAGACCACTCCTCCGTATTACTTTCGATCTCTGCAACACCGTCAGTTCGCATAGAGCCTCCCAGACTATTCTCCCCCTTAACTAATCGTAAACAATTCCACGATCTAATTAATGAAAAAAAAAACTTAAATATTAAACTTAAGTCCAGCACAGATATAGACGAAGCAGTCTATAATCTAACAAATCTCATTCAATCGACAGCATGGGCTACCACCAAGCCCGGCAAAAATAGAAACTCAAATTCCAAGCCACACCTTCTCCCAGAAGAAATCCGTAATCTGATTGTCGAAAAACGCAGGGCAAGAGCAAGGTACCAGGCCTCCCATCTCCCATCGCATAAAATAAAATATAATAAACTTGCAAACTCGTTAAAAAAAGTTCTTGCAAAACATAAATCAAATACTTTCGAACAGAAATTACACAGTTTGTCGGCTGTAGATGGCAGTCTCTGGCGTGAAACCAAAAGGTTACTAAATTATAAATCTATCTCAACCCCTCTCAGAAAAGAAGATAACTCCTTAGCTATTAGTGACCCAGAAAAAGCAGCAGTGTTTCAATCACACCTTTCAAATATTTTCCAACCCCACGCTGATATTGTTGATAACCAACACATGTGTAACGTTAAAAAATTTCTAGATTCTCCCTTATCAATAGGACCTCCTACAAAATACTACACTCCTAACGAGGTGAAAAACATAATTTTAAAATACTCTAACAAAAAATCGCCTGGCTTCGACCTAATAACCGCAGAAGTTGTCAAGTGTCTACCGAAAAAAGCAATCATACTATTAACTTACATTTACAACGCAATTCTAAGACACTCTTACTTCCCCTTACTATGGAAATTCTCTCACATCGTTATGTTCTCCAAACCCAATAAACCACCTGACTCTCCTGGCTCCTACAGGCCTATATCCTTTTACCGTTCCTTTCAAAAATTAGTGAAAGGCTCATACTTCAGCGCATTTCCCCATAATATATTATCACTAGGGCCCGGATTTCAATGCAAAGTGCTTATTTTTTTGGTTGATCATATACAATGCTTTCTAAGTACATAATTCGTTCCATGTAACGAGGGTTTGAAAGCTACAAATTTTATTTTGCATTTTTTTGCATATTTCGACGTTTTTTCATTTTTAGAGCATTTTTAGCATTATTGGGTCATTTTGTTGGTTTTTAATGCATATTTGTTCNTAAAAAAAGTTAGGGGTCCACGGTGAAAGTGCACATAAAAAAGGGTTCCACGGATAAAAAAGTTTAAGAAACGCTGTTATACACTATTTATTTATTTGTTTGTGGTAATGTAGTCAAGTACTTCAAAACGGGATGGCACCAAATGTTGCCGGATTTTGTTTTTTAAATATCTTTTTTAATAATGTTTTGATATTTTTTTAAGTATTTTTTTCGAATTCTATGTCAAAATTTACATAAAGGTAGATTTTTTTTTTATTAATAAAAAAAATCATGCATGAAGAGGTTAAAGCTAATTAATTTTCAAAGTAATGAAATTATTTTAACACATAAATTAGGTTACATTATAAAAAATGATAGATTTTTATCGTTGAAAGAAACTCATGATACGATATGTGATCAAAACCACGATATAACTTATATACACGACGCAGTTAATGATGTAAAATTAACGAAATGTATTTTCAATTATGTAAGTATTAAACACAATTATCAGAAACTATTAAGTAAAATAATAAAATAATATTGTCTTACAACAATTTCTCTAGTTCTAGTAAAAAATTATGTAAAACTATGAATTGTATACAATCAAAAAACCATATTGTT